TTGAAGTCCAGGATCTTGTTATCTAAGTCAAGTCCAGATATGGTTGAAGCTTCTTAAGTGCAGTTCCTCCAGTACAGCACCTTGTAAACAGTTTCTCTTGACCTGAAGACCTTTCCAGAGATCTTTATTTCTCCATACAGCTTTGAGTTATTATCTCGTATCCTTTCATTTCACCTTGTAGGACTCCATTGAACATATTTTGTAGGGCAGGGCTAGTGGTAACAAACTCCCTCAGCTTTTATCTGGGAATTTCAAAATTTCTCCCTCACTTTTGAAGAAGTTTTGCTGGATATAAGATTCTTAGTTGACAGTCTTTTCCTTTGAGCACTTTAAATATATCTGCCAACTGCCTTCTGGAGTCCAAAGTGTATCATGAGAAGTCAGCTTGTAATCTTATTGAGGATCCCTTGTATGTAATGACTCACTTCTCTCTTGCTGTTTTCAATATTATGTTTGTCTTTTGAAAGTTTGCTTATAATGTATCCTGATGTGGCCTCATCTTATGTGGAGGTTGTTGAGCTTCTCAGATGTTTATATTTGTGTCTTTCATCAAATTTGGGAAGTTTTCAGCTATTACTCAAATATTTTCTCTACTCTCTTCTCTATTCTCCTTCTGAGACTCCCAAATGCATATTTTGGTTTGCTTGTTGGTGTCCCACAGGTCTCTTAGACTCTGTTCACTTTTTTCAAACTTTTTTCTTTCTGTTTCTCAGACATGGTAACTTCTATTGTCCTATCTTAACGTTCACTGATTCTTTCTTTGCCTTGTTCAAATCTGCCTTTGAATCCCTCTAGTGTGTTTTTCATTTCAGCTATTATACTTTTCAGCTGTAGAATTTCTTCTTCGATTCTATTTAAGTTTTCTGTCTATTGATATTTTGTTCATACATCATTTTCTTGAGTTTCTCCACACCTTTCTTTAGTTCTTTGAGCATCTCTAAGACAGGCATTTTAAAGTCATTTTGTAGTATATCTGCCATCAGTTCTTTTTCATGGGCAGTTTCTTCTGATTTCTTTTTTTTTGTTTGAATGGGCCATACTTTATTGTTCATTTGTATGCCTTATTTTTTTTTTCTGAAAACTGGACATTTAAATCTAATAATGTGATAACTCTGGAAATCAGATTCTGCCCCTTCCCTGGGGTCTGCTGTTTTTTATTATTGTTTTTGGGGGGTGTTGTAGGCTGTCTCTGTGCTGAGGATCATCAGCCTGAGGTATAAACTTCTCAGGTCTTTTTGGACTCTTTCCTGAATCTGCATAGTCACTTTCTAATTTTCCTCATGTAACCAATTGTTTTGAAATGTGCTAGTCTTTAATGTCTGGCTCTCCAAAGGGGAAAAAGAGAAAAACGAAGAGGGGCAGAGAGGCATTACAATCCCTTCAAATCCCCTTGAAGTCTCTTTAGCTAGAGGGGAAGGGGCTTACAACAATAGAGGGAGGTCCAACAACAGTGACTGCCTTTTTCTTTGTCTGTACCTCCTGGATCAGAAGCAGCAATCAGAAATCAGAGCGCAGATTCCCAGTATTTGGACCACAATGTCCTTTTTGCCTACCCTCACTCCTGTAATCTGTGTGCAAGGTGCTCCAGGAACAAGTGCACCACTGCCCGCCATGTGGCTGGGATGGGGGGAAGGATACCTGCCTCTGTGCTAAGAGCTGAAATGAACCGCAATGTATTGTCCAAGTCGTCTTTCCTTTGGAAGTTGCAAGCCTTCAACAGATTCCAGACTTCCAAAATAGTTTCTTCAAACAAATTCCGCCCATTCAATTTTTGTCTAGGTGGGGAGGTAGATTCCCTTAGTGCTTCCTACTTTGCCATCTTCCCATAATCCTCTATCTGTGCATGTGTTTTCTGGTATTGGTGGGGGCATACCTTCAAGGAGAGATCCTAGAAGTGGGATTGCAGGATCAGAAGGTAAATAAAATACACATGTAATCTAGTTAGATGTTGTGAAATCACCCTCTGTAGAGGTTGTACAATTTTGCACTCCTACTAGCAACATATGAAAGTACCTGTTTCTCCAAAGCCTCACCAACCATGTGTTGTCAAACTTTTGAGTTGTTGCCAATCTGCGATGAGTAATGATATCTTAATGTAGAGATAAAGTAAAGCCCAAGGAGAGAAAACAGTATGTACAAAGAACCACCTGGATTTTTAGTTAAAACAGAGTGAATTAAACACATGTGTTTCTTTCCTCCCTCCTTAACACACTAAAATGAGGGTAAAGAAATAAACAGAAGAACTTGAGAGGAAAGTGCTTCTTTCATTATGACACTGCAGTTTTTCCTGTGTTTAAGGGTTAGTTGCATATCTTTCTTTTTGGTGAGATGTCTGTTTAAAACTTTTGCCCATTTTTCTAACAGGTGTTTGGTTTTCCTCATTTTTTTAAAGAGTTCTTTGTATATTAAGGATGTTGTCCTTTTGTGATAAGGGTTGTAAATATTTTCATTAGTCTTTTGAATTTGTTTCTCCTGTGTTTTCATGTGCAAATTTCTTTCTTTTATTGCATTATGTTTATGAGAGAAGCCCTGAAAAGCTGTTTGGAAGCTCTATATGTAAGACTAAGACTTGTGAACAGACAAGGATCTCTTGCTGTTTCATTCTGTGGAACTTTTGATTTAAGAGAAGACTCTACCAGTGTCTTGGTAGAGATAGAGAAAAGGAGATTGTTGGGAAGGGCCCTTTTCCATACATAGATATTTGTTTATTCCCTTGTTTTTTTCCCTTCACCTTGCTGTGCCTGGTGTCCTCAAGCCAATCTATTTTGGGTCTTTTTTTTTTTCCCTGTAGTAGACCTTCATTCTCCTGCTCTATTTGGGGAACTGTAGTTGCTTGGCTATATGTCATGGGTTGGAGACTTGGGGATCTTTTTTATTAAGTCTTTCAGTCAGTCTAGATTTTAACCCCACTCCTCACCATTGTTTTGGGAAGTTATTGGAGGTATAGATTTCTGAGTCCTTCTGCAGACACTTAGGATGTCTGTTTTCTCAGTCCTGTTAATTCCTTCATCTGTTCTCATCTGCTGCTGTCTCCTTTCAAGTTCTTTATCTTGTTATATTTATTCTCACTTTTAGTAGATTTTAGGTGTAAGGAGAAAGAAACACATCAATTCATTGTATTTAATTAGAAATACAGTGGTTCTTTATACATACAGTTTCTCTCCTTAGGCTCTACTTTGTGGGCAGTTGGATGGCTCTCAATGGTTCATGGTATTGCACTTTTGTTTGATAATTTAGAGTTTATGTGCCAGTACTCAGATGATTTTGATCAGCAGTTGGAAAATTGGGTACCCTTTTTTTTTTTTTAAGTCCTGTGTAACTTCAAGGGAAGAAAGTTTTTACAATTTTATGCAAAAGATTATTATTGGTCCTGGAAATAGGAATGCTGCTTGAGAGTCTCTTTGTCTTCTCCCCATTTGATCCATATTTTGCAGTATTGCTATAGTCTGTGTTTGGGGATTATAGCTATTTTGTAGTTTAATTTTAGATTAATCCCCTTTGCTTTTTCTTCTTTTTCACTTTGGTGGTTTTGAAGAAGTGGGAAGTAAACATACCTTTATTCCTTTCTTTTAAAATGTATTTAATACAGTGTGAAAAACCATGCTCAAAAACATGTATTTCATTTAAGAAGTCGAATAACTGGATTAAGTACCCATGCCCAAACCTTTTCTTATTCAGTAAAGCTTTGCATGAGGTATGACTCTAGTCTGACATGTTGGGTTGCAGTGAGTTTCATGTCACGACAAAGGGAGAGAATGTCTGTAGGAACACACATGTACTAGAAGTAGAGCTACCAGAATCTGAGGCAGCTTTAGGGACTGGTTTTTTTTTTCACCACCCTTCTTATTAGTTGTTGTCTTTCACAGCACTTTGCTCCTCTCTGCACATCTGCTCTAAGATCTCCATGTGAACCATTTTCCTGTGCTTACTGATAGTTTCTGTTCTCTTATAAATTCAGACTACAGAATAGACACCCCACCCCAGTCTCTCTTACCTTTACTTACATGTGACCTTTCTACTTCAGCTGTCTACAGCTGACCAGTGTACTCTCTTGCTGTTTCTTAAGTCATATTTCCAATAAAAACAAGTTGGCCCAGACCATCTTTTTGTGCCACCCTAGTTTTTTGTTCCTAACCAAACCATAAATGGACTTTCTTGGATCAGTTCACTTCTCAAGCAGGTTGGGGATGTTGGAGAAGGGAGCAGTAGGTCAGCAGGGAAGCAGCAGGGAACGATGGGTGGACAGTTACCCTTGGTAAGTGAGGGAGCAGGATAGAGCTGAACGCATAACATTTCCTCCTTCAGTCTACCAGTTTATTTTTAATAGAGTACTTCAGGCAAATACTTAGTGAGTACAGATTGAATATTGTAGGAAACTAGCTAATATTTGTATCAAAATTGATGAGAAATCTGCTGTTTGGTGCTGTTTTCTGTTTGCATTGTGATTTCAGAAACATGGCATGGCCGTAAGACCACTATACTAGGAGTCAGGATAGATTCTAGACCTGATTTTGCTGTTCTGTGAAAGGCTTCACTTTCTTCATTAGATAAATTTTTTAAAGGTCAGTGGAGTAGAATAGTTTCTAAGGTACTACCTACCTATAAAACCTTGCGACTCAAATTGTACTATAACTAAGCTGGGAAAGGTACTTTCCGCAAGGATGGTCAGAATAAACAGCTATTATAATGAAATCATAAGTTCAGATTAATGTAAAAAATTAGAAACAAGAATGATTGGACCCATACATTAGAAAAGGGTGCAAGAGTTTTGTAGTGAACTAAATTCTCATTTAAGCTTGTTTTATTTGAAATCAGATGCTGTTTATAAACTGATTTAAGTCAGATATTATAGTCACAAACTGTTTTCCCAACTTAAGTTGCACATAGGTAGTGTATTAGTGTAAGTGTAATATTGAAGTTTGAAATTCTTCCTGCTTTTTTAAAAAGCATAGTTGGATATTTAAAATAGTGAAGTAACATGGATTTCTTTTACTTTTTAGGATTTAAGTGTCCTGTATGCTCAAAATTTGTACCCTCAGATGAAATGGATTTGCATCTTGTGATGTGTTTAACAAAGCCAAGAATAACCTATAATGGTAAGTCCAGTGCTTTAAAATAATACTTTAAATTAGAATTATCTTAGATTTTATGAATTTCATGTTTCAGGTAAAAGTTAAAAGGCAAGGAAGGACTATCTGTGAGCCCTGAGCTAACTGGTATCCTAATTAGGTCTGGTGCTTTGGCTGTGCCATTCTTACCTGACCACAATCTCCAGATACTCAAAACCATAGGAGAGATTTTCAATGTAGTCCTGGTACATTTTGAAATAGACTTGAAAAAAAAAAAGGAATAGTTCATTTGTGACTTTAGATGAATAGAATGAAATAAAGGAAAAATGAGAGCTTTTTTCAGAATTTTATAGATAAAAAGACAAACTTCAAAATCCATGGAGAAATTTTAGATTTTTCAAATGTAAAATTTGGTTTGAAATAGAATGAGTAAGAAGAGTACCAGTAAACAGTGAAGCCAGTTGAAAGATCGACTTCTTGATCAGCAAATGTTTTTTCAGTACCTGTCAGGTATGAGGTATATAGTGTTAAGAACTTGGAATATAGCAATGAATAAAACCGATGGATCCTACAGCCTAGGATCAACCAAAGGTTAATCAATGTAGTAACACTTAGTCAATAATCTGAGATTCCTCTTCAGATTACAGAAATCTTGTCGGGGTGAAATTTAACACTGAAGTGAACATGTTATTTTGAGTAGCTTTTTTGCAAAATGTTTTAGGAATCTCTGTCTTGAGAAGGTAGTGCTTCAGCCACACTATTATAGTAATAATTGAGCACTTTTTCCCATTTTCCAGTGTATAAGTAAAAGTAGCTTTTAGCATTTCCTTTGAATAGTAAATGTACCTGTTGATTATTATATATAAACCTTTCTGCATTAGGAAATTGAATTGGCTACTTTTCATAATCTAATTGAGATTTAGTTACTTAAGAAATAAAAGACATTTTTATTCAGGTTCAAAATTTGAGGTAAAATTGATTGGGCTTGTTTCTTATACTTACTCTATTATCATTACCCTCCATAATTATTATGTTTATTACAAGTGTTTTTAAAATATCCTTAAATCTTAAGATTCTGGTGTTGAATTTTAAAAGCCAAGTGTATTTCCTTTTACCATATATTTGCATATAATCTTAGTATTCTGTTTATTTACTTTTTGTGTAGTGTATTTGGATATAGTCTTTTTATGTATTGATATTTGGCAGTTTTTAATTTCCTGATTTAACTGTGCTCAAGTCATTACAGTTTTCTACTAGATCACTTGTGTGGTGGCTTAAAAAGCAATATGTAACCTTCTGCTTGGGGATACTGTGATCCAAGAATTCAGGTTTTAAATATTTGACGGTATTCCAATTTAGAAGTTAGTGAACTTAATGCAAAAAGTAAATAAAGTTGCAGCCATTTTTAAGAATGGCTTCCTACTTTAAGGTAGTTAGACCTGAAATTTTTAAATTTGTTACCTATAGATTAACGTCTGTAAACATTCACAACAAGAGGCAAAAACAGCTTCTTTATAAACATATATGATTCTTGAATTTTTTAAATGTGGACAGTGGCCAACTGTGAGTTAAAAGAAGGAGGAGCTGTGATTGACGGGTTTAGGTTAGATAGAGGTGGCAGATTGGTAATGTACTTTCCCATCACAGGCTAGGAGAATTCTAAGGTTTTGAAGGCAGAGCCCTGTAGGGGAGGAAAAAATAATCCCTTTACCTTTCTGAGTTCTTGGCTGAGACCCCTGTAATAAAAGATTAACAAGAGGAAAACAAATAAAAATTTATTAACAAGTATACCTCCTGGTGTACATAGGAGGTACCCAGGGGAAAAATGAGCTGATCTCCAAGGTGATTTAGAGTGTGGGCTTAAATAGCATCTTCAGCTAAAGACAAAGAAGAAAGTGAGGGTGGGGAGGCCAGTTGTGGGGGGTCACCAGGAAAATCATGACAAACAAGAGGTCTGTTACGCGGATATAGGTTAGTGCCTGCTCCACTGAGAAGATTCTCTTGGAGTAAACTTTGTGATTTAGAGCAGCCCTCCTTCTCATCCTGGTAGTGAGAAGGAAGACACTCTTGCAAATGGAGAGTTCTTCTGTTCAGTATTATGTAACAACCTAAATGGGAAAAAAATAGACACATATATATGTATAACTGAATCACTTTGCTGTACACCTGAAACTGTCACAACATGGTTAAGCAGCTATGCTCCAATATAAAATAGTTTTTTAAAAACGTAAATTTCCCTTACTAAAGGGTAACTTCTAGTTTCAGAGCTTGAGTCTGCTATTTCTCAGTCATTTAAAAAATAATCCTTATGCCAAAGAAGCATATTTTAGGGTAGCATATTCTGCTACCCTTCAGTCACCAAAATCTGATCTATCAAGGATATGAGCCTGTGTGAGAACCAGCCCCTTTAACACCTAAGCAATAATCTAGGATTATTATGAAGTTTAGAACAAGGTGAGTTGGAGAATCCTGAAATGGAATCTTTTTAGTCAGCTGGACTCCTCACAGCTTCATATTTTAATTCCTAAAAGTTGGTTTCGTAGAGAGAGATGCATTAGAGAGATTGGGTCTCTAAATTGTGTTAATACTCAAACAAGAATTTTATTCAGTGTAGTGCTTATTAACTAAAACCTTTTGCAGCCTTTCCTAAAGTAGCTAGATCTATAATTTTTAAATTTATTTGTTAAATGTATATTAATTGAACTGTCTACAGACATTCACAGTTAGCAAGGAGAATACTTGGGCTTATTTTTCAGGCTGGGTATTATTTATAGTCAAACTCCTGAATAGGATGAATTCCAGAAATTTGACTATAACTTGGTGATTCGGAGTTTCAAATTCATATTCACAGAGGTGATATTCTGAATGTTGGTTTGATTTACCAGGCTAGCCCACAGAAGCTTTCTTATTGTTTTTTTTTTTTGCGGTATGCGGGCCTCTCACTGTTGTGGCCGCTCCCGTTGCGGAGCACAGGCTCCGGACGCGCAGGTCCAGTGGCCATGGCTCACGGGCCCAGCCGTTCCATGGCACATGGGATCTTCCCAGACCGGGGCACGAACCCGCGTCCCCTACATCGGCAGGCGGACTCTCAACCACTGTGCCACCAGGGAAGCCCTCTTATTGTTTTTTAATCTGTAATATATTTAAATACCCAAGTCCTGGCAACTGAAGAAGAAAATTGACTCGCCAGGTGAAAGCTCTCAGGATTTAGGCAACTGGCTCAGCAGAAGTTCAGGTAGGAGGCCCAAAGCAATCATGGCAGGGAATGATTCAGAGTGATGTGAGTGGTTATGTATTTGCAGGTGGTATTTTTGGCAGAATGGAATAAAAGTTCAGAATGACACAATGAGTGTTCGTAGATAGATAGCCCTTAAGTCAGAGACTGCCTGCTTCATATACTTTCCCCTCTTTCATGGGCTTCATTGTTTAGTTCATGGGCCTAGTAATTTGATGTATGGTCTTACGAACGTAATATAAATGTTGCAAGCATAGAGTCTCTATTTCCTTGTTCCTCATCTTCTAAAGTATTTCAGAACAAACAAATGTGAAATAAATATTCATAGCAAATTTTTACTCTTGATTTTCTTGGTCTTTAAACTTTACTGGGTCATAGCATGTTTTGCATCATATAAGGTTCAGTTTTCATTTTAGACTTCTGTGATTGAACTCGGTATTTAAGAAATCTTTGTATTGTTTTATTTGTAGTTAGCACTCTGTGTGTGCATGTGCACCCAAAGGAGGTGTAACTTGAAATAAGTTTGTCTTCTGAGAGTTAATTATAAACCTATATAGTGAATCAAAAGAGAGCTTTTCAAAATCATCAGAAAGAAGACTGACTTTATGGACAGAGTAAGATGAATATTACTCTTTTAAAGTAATCATTTTTGAAGAAAGATTGAGTCAATTTCTTTTTTTATAAATTTATTATTTTTGGCTGTGTTGGGTCTTCATTGCTGTGCGTGGCTTTCTCTAGTTGCGGCGAGCGGGGGCTACTCTTTGTTGCAGTGCGCAGGCTTGCAGTGGCTTCTCTTGTTGTGGAGCACGGGCTCTAGGTGTGCAGGCTTCAGTAGTTGTGGCACGCGGGCTCTAGAGTGCAGGCTCAGTAGTTGTGGCGCACGGGCTTAGTTACTCTGCTGCATGTGGGAGCCCTTAGAGCAGGGCTCAAATCCGTGTCCCCTGCATTGGCAGGCAGATTCTTAACCACTGCGCCACCAGGGAAGCCCCAATTTCTTTTTTTTTTTTTTTAATTTTTATTTTATATTGGAGTATAGTTGATTAACAATGTTGTGTTAGTTTCAGGTATACAGCAAAGTGATTCAGTTATACATATACATGTATCTGTTGTTCAGATTCTTTTCCCATTTAGGTTATTACAGAATATTGAACAGAATTCCTTGTGCTATACAGTAGGTCCTTGTTGGTTATCTACTTTAAATACAGCAGTGTATACACGTCAGTCCCAAAGATTGAGTCAATTTCGAAGTGAACTTGTGCTGTAATAAAAGTGAGGGAAAAGGATCTCATCTTCTGTGCTGTCGGTGCGAGAGTGTATCTTATCTGCTTACTTGGATGTTGAAGAAAAGTTGCAGCAGACAGTCAGTGCTTGATTCCAATGTGCACATGTAGTCTTTTAATGACCTGGCTTTCCTCTGTGTAGCATGTTTGCAAGAAAGTACGTATTTTCTCCCTCTGTAATTGCTGTCTGGCTTTCCAGGCAGTTGTGGGTCTCATTTTAAGTTATAAACTTGCTTTCTGCCTTACATACTACATTTTCTTTGTTTTAAGACCTCCCCCCAACCCCCACCCATGCCGCTGGCACTCCAAAACACACATTTTAATCTTTCTGAATTCAGGAAGCTTTCTGAAATTGGCATGTCTCTTATAATTAAGGTTAAAAAATATATTTGTCAATTATGGAGCAGAATTTTAAATAAGGAGGTAGTTATCATTGCCTAAGTTTGTGTGACCTTTGCCTTCTGTGGAAGATATCTACTGTCTGATCTGATGACTCTGTTCATCTGTTTGCA